ATTTTCAGGTGTCTGCCTTATATACCAACTAGGCATCATGGCTGGCCGGTCACTTTCCCCCAGGCGTCAGTGGTCTGGCCAGCACAGTGCTGAGAGTTAGAATGCTGGGTAGTGGGTGTTACAGGACAGGAAGGGGTCTATCAGCTCAGTCTAGGTGGGGGTCGGGGACAGAGATCCCAGGAAACAAGGCTGGAGAGGGGGCTGGAGTTTGCTGGGAAGCCCAAAGGGAGGGTGGTAGGGCAGAGGGAGCGGTCTCTGCTTAGGGGTGGAGGGGAAGTAGCTGCTGCTGTGCCTGCTGTGGCCTGTTTGTACCCTGTGGAAAGAGACTCGGGTGCCCCATCCAGCTCCTGGGACCCTCCTGCACAAGGACTAGTGAGCTGGGCTCAATCCTCCAGGCCCTGCATTCCTCCTCAGGGAAGGAACCTTGCATTTTGGAAGGATCAGAGAGCCTCACTGCAGCAGCCCCGGCCAGATGTTAGGCTCTGTCTGTGCTGTGAGTGATAGCTGTACATAGAGGGCAGCGAGCTAGGACTGCAGAGGCAGCAAGGCGCTGGGGAGGAAGACTAGGAGTGAACCTTCTAATCAGGATGTGTGGAGCTGGGAGGAAGTGAGCAATTCTTGAGTGACAGTCACATGGGAGCTTTTGATCTGTTACCTCACTTAATTCTTATGCCTGGCTGTAAAGTAGATATTATTATCTGCATTTTCTGGCGAAGGAAAGCAAGGCACAGGATGTTACCGCTTGAAGTAACTAGTAAAGACAGAGCAGAGCTGAAATCCCCACCCAGGTCTGCCCTCTCCAAAGCCTACCTACCTCTGATTTCTTCTGTCAGCTGCTGCTGGAAGGAAGGGCTGTCTCCTTACTTGACAGGTGAGGAAACCAGCCTGGCCCAACTCTGTTCTTGCTGGATATGATTCTGTTTCCCAGCTCCTCAGTTCACTGTGGATCAGGTTCTTCTATTTTAGTCTGAGTGATGCTTCCTAATTCAGTGCTACTTGCAGATTGGATAAGCATATTTTACATTCCTTTGCTTAATCCATCAGCAAAGATATTGAATAAAATAGGCCCCATGACAGATGCAAGAGTGAACCACTTGATATACCTCCTTGGAGCCGTGGAGGGCACAGCCCCCACTATCTGTTCACCCTGCTCAGGGGATCTGCCACCTCCCTGACAGCCTGAGCCATAGGCAGGTCCCCAGCAGAAAGCATTGCCTCTGCTTTGCCCTGCGCTGGGGCTTCTTCATGAAAGAGTGACATGTTGGCAAAGGACCTGAGTATGACTTCTGACCTGGGTTCCTATGGACACTTGCTTTCCTTAGCTCCAACCTAGGGGTGCACAAGGCTTGAGGGCACCCTGTGCTGAGAAGGGGGTACAGGCTGAGTGCACAGCACCCCTACCAGCTCTCCACATCTCAGGACACATAAGGTGATTGCCTTTTCCTCCTGGGCTGGCTAACCCTAAATTGAATCCAACAGGGGGGAAACATGCTGATTACCTGCAGCATTCCCAGACAGCATGCCTGGAGTACAGCAAGTCTGCATATGGAGTAGAGGTTGCCTGTCAGACCCCAGAGCTTTTCCATGTGCCTCATAGGAGCCAGGACTCCCCATTCAGAAAAGTCAAGTGTCTTTGTTTTGGGGTCATTGCCATGTGGTGGCCAGTGTTTGTTTTTGTCAGTTAGGCACCCTCTGGTTAGTTCAAGATAAAAGTTAGAAAATCAAATAAATGCATTTTGTTAAAGAAGTAGTTCAGGCTGGGGATTTAGCTCAGTGGTTCCACTGCCTGCCTTGCAAGTGCAAGGACCGGAGTTCGATCCCTGGTACCAAAAAAAAAAAAAAAAAAAAAAAAAAAAAGAAGTAGTACAAGGTTCAGAATGTCTAGGCAGCAGGAGTCCTTCCAGAACAGGAATTTGGCAGTGAACAAGACAGACAAGGAGACGAGCCATTTGAGAAGCAGGTGGAAGGGACTCCTCCAAACCCCCATTTTCTGGATGAGGAAATTGAGGCCCAGAGAGGATGATCCTACAACTAGGAAATGGGTATCATAGACTCACTTTGGTTTGCTTCAGGCCCTGTGCTCTTTCCATGACCTCACTTGACCCTGATAGTTTTGTAAAGATGCTGCCCACTTAGCAGTAGCAGTATGAGTCCCAAAAGCACTGCCTCACCTTGAAGTTCATTGCAGTTGTTTAGGTCCAGTTGAAACCTTTTTTGCATACTGAGCTGCACTGGTAATACTTCTTTCTGTGTGACGCAGGCGATCCTTTTGTGTGGGGTGTGAGTGGGGTTTTGGGAGACAGCTCAGGCACAGGTACATGCCCTCAGGCCACCTGTGGCTGGGCCTTCCTGACCCTCACAAGCTGCCCTCCAGCTGGCTGCTTCTCTGCTGTGCGTTGCTGAAAAGAGCCCCACCAGGATCTCTGGTCCCTGGCCAGCCTCTGACTCCACACTGAGTCTGCCCCGTCCCCTGGCTTCCCTTCCAGACCCATTCTGGACTGGGCTCCTCAAGTGGTCTTTCTTATCGCTTCTCCAGGCCCTCAGTGCTCACCGTTTTGTCATTCTGCACAGGTTAGCGGCGGTGCTGTCATAGACCAGTTGTCACAACGCCTGGCCAAGTCTGTGTCCTGATAGCATTTTTGTCAGATGACCCCGGTCTCTCAGGTTACATCTGTCTCTTCCCATGCACCAGTGACCTCTTCTGCACCTCTGACCATTCTCCTGTCCTTGGTGGGCACAGCCCTCTCCAGTGTGACCGTGCCACCCCTGAGGGCTCGGCTGGTATCTGTCATCCTCCACTCTCATCTCTGGTGGCCTCTCAGAATGGGAGCCGCCATGGTCTTTCTCAGAGATCTGCCTCAGATGGGTAAATGGACAGAGAGGGGTCAGGGACGCTTTTCCTATTGGTCCAAGGTGTACAGTTGGTTAGGGTAGGCTTTCTTTTGCGTGTCCCACTGTCACTTGAAAATTAATGTGGCAAACCACATGCTATTTTGAAATCACAGAAAATGAAAGTTGATTGGAACGTGGAGGGCCATCTCAGTGAAATCTCCAGGAAACCTGGGAACTCTGTCCTTCTCCATCTGTGGTGCCGGCATCATTCTGGGTTGGTGCCGCCCTTAGGAAGGGCTGGGAAGCCATCTTCGGCTTCCAGCATCTCGTGAAGAGCAGCCTGTAGTCCTGCTGGGTCAGGGTCCCTCTCTCCTTCCTAGCATTGTTTCTGCTGGTGATTAGTCATGCCAGAGCTCGGCTGAGTCAGAAGGGACTTGTGGGTGGTTTGTGGCCAGGCTGGAGCAGTGAGGCAGGACTTTCTAGGTTTATGCCTTTGTGCCCCAGGAGACAAGCACAAGAGGGCCCAGCGTTGCACAGGTCCTGTGTGAGGGGCAGATCACAAAACAGGCTTCTGGTCCAAAACTCAGCACGTGAGAAGGATCAAAGGAGCCAAGATGTGGTCCCTGAGACATTCCTGCGGGGTGACAGGCACATGCAGTGCCAGGCCATATGGCCAGCCTCCAGGGCAGGGATATTTACAGCAGCTGTAAAAGTCCTACACTTTATACAACAGGCCTCTTTTCAAGTACTGCATGTATTTCAAATGTAAGTCTGTGTCCTGATAGCATTTTTGTCAGATGACCCCGGTCTCTCAGGTTACATCTGTCTCTTCCCATGCACCAGTGACCTCTTCTGCACCTCTGACCATTCTCCTGTCCTTGGTGGGCACAGCCCTCTCCAGTGTGACCGTGCCACCCCTGAGGGCTCGGCTGGTATCTGTCATCCTCCACTCTCATCTCTGGTGGCCTCTCAGAATGGGAGCCGCCATGGTCTTTCTCAGAGATCTGCCTCAGATGGGTAAATGGACAGAGAGGGGTCAGGGACGCTTTTCCTATTGGTCCAAGGTGTACAGTTGGTTAGGGTAGGCTTTCTTTTGCGTGTCCCACTGTCACTTGAAAATTAATGTGGCAAACCACATGCTATTTTGAAATCACAGAAAATGAAAGTTGATTGGAACGTGGAGGGCCATCTCAGTGAAATCTCCAGGAAACCTGGGAACTCTGTCCTTCTCCATCTGTGGTGCCGGCATCATTCTGGGTTGGTGCCGCCCTTAGGAAGGGCTGGGAAGCCATCTTCGGCTTCCAGCATCTCGTGAAGAGCAGCCTGTAGTCCTGCTGGGTCAGGGTCCCTCTCTCCTTCCTAGCATTGTTTCTGCTGGTGATTAGTCATGCCAGAGCTCGGCTGAGTCAGAAGGGACTTGTGGGTGGTTTGTGGCCAGGCTGGAGCAGTGAGGCAGGACTTTCTAGGTTTATGCCTTTGTGCCCCAGGAGACAAGCACAAGAGGGCCCAGCGTTGCACAGGTCCTGTGTGAGGGGCAGATCACAAAACAGGCTTCTGGTCCAAAACTCAGCACGTGAGAAGGATCAAAGGAGCCAAGATGTGGTCCCTGAGACATTCCTGCGGGGTGACAGGCACATGCAGTGCCAGGCCATATGGCCAGCCTCCAGGGCAGGGATATTTACAGCAGCTGTAAAAGTCCTACACTTTATACAACAGGCCTCTTTTCAAGTACTGCATGTATTTCAAATGTAGATGAGCCTACATTTTAACATTCCTTTTCATGTGATTTTATTCTTTCCAGTAAAGATTCATTAAATAGGTACTCATTGGATTTTTGTACTTGCGCAAGTTTTTCTTAATATAAATTTGGAGAAACAGCTCCTTTATCAGAACATGTGTGGTCGCCAGAGGGAGCAGTGCTTTCTGCTGGGCAGTGGGACCTCCCAAAAGCCCCCTCGAGTGTATTTAAGTAGAGCCCCAAAGGTGGCTCCAGTTTGGCCAGGCAGGAGGGGGTGACAATTGCCCTGTTGATGGGCCAGCATGGCACAGCCCTGGAAGTGTGGCTGTCGTGGGGGTGGAGTAGGAGGAGGCCAAGGCCAGCCAGTCAGGCCTGGAAGAGGGTGCCTCTTGGATTAGCTCTGGCTCACAGGCTGTTTCTGTACCCACAGGAAGGAGAGGAGCAGGAGGAGCCTCGCAGCAAGGAGGAGCGCCAGGAGCCCAGCACCACAACCCGGAAGGTGGGGAGGCCTGGCCGGAAGCGCAAGCACCCGCCGGTGAGTGTCCCGCCCACGGGACCCCCCGTGCATGGGCGTGTACTCTGGACAGCAGTGATGTTTCGCAGAGCTTGCAGCTGCAGAACTTGCTCAGATTCCCCATTCTGGGTAGCCACAGCCACCTCTCATCCTCTGTTTTCTACACGGAGAGCTGGAGGCCCGGGGAAGCCAGGGGACATGGCTGAGGGGGCGCGGTGAGAGCAAGCATTTCTATCAGGTTGCCTCCCATCCCAGCTGGAAGGGCAGTAAAAGAGCCTTGCCAGACTCTCTGGGCTGGACTGACTTCCTGGCCTGGCTGCATAGGCCCCTCCCTGCCGACCCACATGCCCACCCTAGGTCTCAGCACCCCCAAGAGACCTGCAGGGCTGGAGCTGTGCCGAGAGGAGGTGCAGGCTGAGAGGAACAGCACTTCACTGTTGAAGTTCTGCAGGGGTGGAGCTGCAAGGCTTCTGGGAGCGATGGCTGCTGCAGCCTGAGGGAGCTCTAGGTTGCCGGAGCTAAGAAGAGGTAGAGGGCATGGCTGGGGGATGAGGGGCCTGCCTTTGTATGCCTTATACTCAGAGACGGAGAATTCATTCCCACACCAAAGACAGCTGGTTCCTTTCTTTTAGTCCCTTCCAGCTGAGAATGGTAAACTTTGAGCAAGAAGGAGAGGGGGAACCAGAGGCTCTGAATTTGTAACTCAGCCATTCACTGAAATGTTCTCAGCAGGGCAGGGAGGCCAGGACTGGTGCACAGCATAGGTAGGGAGGTGGGTTCTTGGAGGTGAGAGGTTTGGGAACCTGCTGGGTATGACAGTACATCTCGGCCAATTCTGCTTGAAGACGGGGGTGGGGGCAAAAGCAACGGATTTAACTGGTGAGTAATTTTAAACACTTTAATATTAAAGCTAACATGGATGTTTTATGGCCTGGAACGAGAAGTTCATGTGACAATGAAAGATAAAATGGGATTCCAGAAGAATTTCCAGTTTGCAGCCCACCACACTGGCAGATTCCCAGGAGGCCCCTGACTTTTCTACCAAAGGGCCCCTTGAGGGAGAAGGGTGTCTGGGGAGCCACATTGGCACATGCGCACCCTGCCTCCCGCTGACTGGACAGTCTGTAGAGCAAGCTCCCCCTTTCCTGATCTAGTTGCTGGGGACAAGAGCCACCACCTGTGTTGTGTTAGGAGCCAGGAACCCTTGAAGTACCATTGTCCCTGGGCCGGGGGACTGGGATCACAAGGCACAAGGGAAGGACACGCAGATGGACACGGAGGAGGGCAGGTCATACCATCCCCACCTGGAGCAGGTGCAGTGCAAAGGAAGAGCAGTTCTTTGGAGTCCATTAGAGCTGGGTTTGAATCCCAGCTCTGCTTATCTTTGTGGCTTTGAACAAGTCACTCTGCCTGAACCTGAAAAACAGAAGCAATAAGATTCATTCCTTCTAGACTGCTGCGACACTGGAGTGGATTTCTGCACCAACTGGCAGATCCTCAGCATAGACTGGACCTGCTCTTGCCTGGCCAAACCTTTCCCATTTAGGAGGTCATGGCTGCCACATTTGACAGAAGAGACAGTCTGGATTTACTGCTTCCCAGCTGTGTAGTCTTGAGCAAGTTACTTAGCCTCTCTGAGCTGCTTCCTCGTTGATAAAATAGCACTGTCAGTAATACCTGCCCTGGCTGGCCATAGTGGTACACTCCTGTAATCCCCCAACTTAGCAGACTGAAGCAAGAGAATTGCTGCACGTTCAAGGCTACGTAGTGAATTCAAGGCTAGCCTGAATTAGATGGCAAGACTGTCTCTAAAAAAACAAAACAAACAACCCCAAATAATTAAAAACAAATCCTGCCCTGCCCACCTTCTTGATGCTTTGTAAGCAACAGGGCTGAATGTGCAGAAATGGCCGTATAATGAATCTGTGCCATTGCAGGGCTGGTGATCCCAGACTGCGGGGCTGGCCTTTGGGGTGGGACCCCATATCGGCCTCTGAGCAGCCCTGGAGGGGACAGTGCACATCCTCTGTCAGTCTGGATGCCTAGCCCGTGTCCAGGTGACACTCGCAGCCACCTGGACTCTTAGAGGCCCCTGGGCCAGTGCACGGAGAAGGCCTGAGACAGCTGTTGCAAGGGCCACTGGGGAACAGAGAAAGAAGGATCCTGGAGAACCACAGCCCGGGGCCACTCTGGGGGCTTCCCGCTGTGGCCAGGTGCCCCCATGGTCCCAGCCTGGTTGTGGAGTTTTGAGTGGGGCCTTGGCCCTGGTGGGCAGGTGCTGGTCCTGGCCCCCGAGCGAGTGTTTTCATACTGACCCTGGAGAGGGCAGGAGCTTGGCCCAGGTCCTCCCCCTGTAACCGAGGGGTGCCACTGGCTGGAGGTGGGGCTTCCTGGTGCAAATGTGGCACCATCTCTGATGCCTAGAGAGACAAGGTGCAGCACCAGTGTCCTCCCCAGTCCTGAGGCTAAGCAATTTTTCACTCTCTCCATTTGTCTGTCTGCCTTCAGCAGGTGTCTGTCTGTGGGTGCTGCCAAGTGGGCCTCCTGGCACCACCCTCAGTCACACTGGACCCCACGTGCGTCCAGATGCCTGGCCGGTGGGCTTCCTAGAGCTCCATCCCCGCGTCCCCTCCACAGCACATGTACTTCTCCTGCCACTTGGGGGAAGAAACTTGGGTGAAGAACACTTGCCTCCCAGTCTAGCATGCCAGGGCCAGGCAGCCTCGCGCAGTTGTGTTAAATGCAGTGCCCGGCACATCTCTGTTCTCCAGTCTCTAGGCACTTCCTCTCTTCCCTCCTTCCCTCCCTCTCTTCCTTTTGTGTCTGGGGACCAAAGCCTGGTACACCCTGTCGTTGAGCCTACCTCCTTAGCCCTTCCTGTTTTTTATTTTGAGATAAGGTCTCACTAAGTTCCCTGGGCTCACCTAGAATGTGGGGATCCTCCCGCCTTAACTTCCTGAGTAGCTGGGATTACCTGTAGGTGTTGCCACTGCACTCAGCCCTAGAATTTTTTGTTTGTTTGTTTTGTTTTCTTGTTTTTTTTTTTTTTTTT